GATCTCAACGTTCGTTTGGTGGGAATTCTGAAAGACGTATAGCATGGATCTGGTGAAATTTGCTGCCCCTTGTGTTAATTCGAAATTACAGACGGATGATTTGTTTGTGTTCTGGACCATTATGAGTTTCCCTTCAAATTGGGAAGATTAGAAGATTAGATTTCTCAAAAGTAAGACCGGTGCCATCTTCAAGTACTGCTTGCTTAGTGTGTTTGTGCTGTTAGTTGAACCATGATTTTAGATCTGATGGCAACCGATCAACTTGAATTACATCCTGGTGTTCCAATTCAAATCTACATTTCTCTGGGTAAAGTTTTTAAAAGGGTAACTTAATCATGTCACTTTATTTTTCCTAATAATTACCATGTCACTTTCGTGCCAGCCACAATTGCCATATGCTTTTGGACTTGGTCGAAGCGTGTTCCATATGCCTTGAGCCGATAATCACACAGGATCTGATCTGTCTACACACGTCAGCTATTTGTTTCCCATACTAATGGTTTGCCGTTTGAACATGGCCTTCTCGTTTCTTGATATACTACCGAATTGGACATGCCCTTTGTTTTTTTATATTGCCGAAATGAAAGTTCAGATGTGTGTACAGTACTTAGTAATTGCTAGTACCACTGAAATGGAAATTTCCTTTGTTTTCTAACCACTAGTTTGTTTCTTTGCAGTGGCCATCTTGAGAACTATACTAGTGATTACACCCTACAGGTGTTAGTAGGTTATTGCGTTGTGTACATCTTCATGCAGACCTTCATGATCCCAGGGACAATATTCATGTCTCTGCTTGCTGGTGCTCTATTTGGGCAACTCCGGGGCTTGGCCCTGGTGGTCTTTGCTGCCACTGCTGGTGCTTCTTCATGCTATTTCCTGTCGAAGATGATTGGGAAGCCACTGGTGTTCACACTGTGGCCAGATAAGCTCAGTTTCTTCCAGAGACAGGTATCTAAAGACCAAAATCACCAAATGTAGTTTTGTTTCTAAAGTCTGTGTATCAGGCTTAAATTGTTTATTCTGAATTGCTCTACGCTTGAGTCAGGCTATTTGATTTAAGTCCCTCGTCTATGTATCTCATAACTGAGAGGTAAATTGTCTTTCATTTCAGGTTGCTAAAAGAAGAGAGAAGCTGTTGAATTACATGCTTTTCCTCAGGGTGACCCCAACATTGCCAAATACCTTCATCAACTTAGCTTCACCCATAGTAGATGTCCCCTACCATACATTCTTACTGGGAACTCTCATTGGTCTTATCCCAGCTGCTTATGTGACTGTCAGGGTAAGTTCTATTGTCAGATATCATGCTTGTTTACCTGTTGCCATCTAGTGTCCCCTTTTTGTGCTAATATCAGTTCTGCTATTTCCCCCCCTACTGTCATGCATTCAGGCTGGAATTGCTCTCGGAGAGTTAACTTCGCTGAGTGACCTTTACGACACCCAGTCGATAGCACTGCTATTCCTGATCGGTGTTGTTTCAGTCACACCAGCATTGTTGGGCAAGGACAAGGCACAAGAAAAACCATCAGAAATGGCAGTAGGCACGTCATGATCACCAAAGCACCGAGAGTTGTCCACCTCACCTGTATATATCAACATCCAGCATGCAGTGGCTTCATTAGTTCGGATCGACAGGCCCTTGTGGCTGGATGACAAAAATGGTTCGCATGGCTGCACAGCTTGGCAGGACCTCGGCCTAAACTCCGTCCACTGCCGGCCTACGCCCTACAGAGGCACCTGTGTTGCCATCATCAGAACATGATCCGGTGGCCATTCACCACATTATGAATGAATGAATGAACCTGGGAAGCAGAATGCCCGTTAGACAAGCTGCTCTGATGTGTAAACGAGTAATGCTGTTCGGATAGGACAGGCATTTAGTCCAATCCCTGTATATATATTGACCAGATTCATTCAATCCATATTCAGTGGTTCAAAGATAATGCCCTGTCCGGCTGATGTGTTCCTGAATGTCTTGCTCCATTTCTAGTTTCCCTTCTGTGCCTGATTGACTATGGCCTACTGGTTCTGTTGTAAATGCCTTGTCCGCATCACTTTGGCATTTGGCAAGTGATGATGCCTTCCTTCCCTGTCGGTAGGAAACAGTAGAGCTTGTTTCCTCCTTTTCCATGCCAAGTGATGCGGTCGTCAAATGGGCAACTTGCAAAAGGAAACAGTAGAGCTTGTTTATGATGATCGGGCGTTTATTTTTGTTTGGTGAGCATGAAGGGAGAGGCACTAGCCGACGTACAGTTTTTAACAAAAACTGGTTCGTATTTTTTAATCACACTACACAGTACACACGCTGCATGCGTGTACATACACTTATCACGATGAACACACTACTAAAAGAATAACGTCGTTAAATTCTAAAATATTTTTTCACCATCAGTATAAACAGCTGATCCTGCGCTCAGTTTGCTAGTTCCGATGATCTTGCAATAGTGTCTCTACTTTTTTAGATAGAATGCTTCATTTTTCTAGTGAAGTTTTTTAAGCTAAAGTTTTTATTTGAAACGGACCAATTTTCTCGTGAAACCGAGAATTTTTTAAAGCTAGAACATTTGAATGTTGAATTGAAACGTTGTGTCATTAAAGGAAAGAAATGTTGATAGCCACTGTTAGCTGGGCCAACGTGTCGTGCAATTCGTCTTTGGGATTCACCCACCCCAAGTGCTAACTACTGTTGGGCCTTTTCTGCTAAAAAAAACTACTGTTGGGCCTTTGGCAACACGTACCAGTCAAGCGAATCGTCACGGTTTGATGACGCTACATGGGCTACCCCGCAGCCGCACTGTTGGCCTGTTGGGCTACCCAAGTTGAACTGGGATCGTCCCCATCTCCGCCGCTGCGGCGAGCAGGCAGCGACCGCCGCTGCCAAACACGGCCAGGCCGGGGAGCGGTGGAGGGGCAGTGGAGCACCGGCGCACCGCATATGCTCGGGGTTCTTCGCCGCGCAGGCCTCGCCGCAGCGTCGTCGCCGGCGGCGGGCCTCCGACAGGTGCGTCCGATTCCACTCTTCAGGGCGCGTGCTGCTGCTTGCCACTCATTGCATTCCTTCCGCGACCGGCACTGATATCGGCTGTGGTTTGCCGTCCTACATCCTGAGGATCCAGAAGCGTGTAGCTCTGATACTGAATTTATTATTAGGGAGAGGGAGGTGTTGTTCAGTGTTAACGACTCGAATAGATGGCCGTAGTTTAGAGTGCTGCACTTTCAGGTGACGCGCGGTTGGATTGTCTAAGAGCTGGTTACGAGTATCGGTGAAATAAACGAGGTTTCCGTGTAAACAGCACAATCACCTGAAAGTTTTGTCAGGCTTCAAACAGAGTATCTGTGACTATGACTGTCTGCTCGTTGTGATTGTGCTCTGTTTGAAGCCTGACAAAACTTTTGGTTTCTAAATTTTGCAGTTTCAGTGTGCTTACCATAGAAGCAATGAGAGATTATCACCTATCCACCAAGGTAAGTGTGGTCAATGGCCATACTATACTCTTCCTAGTTGCTTCTTGATCTAATGTCTTTGTTTAGGCCTATGAGCTTCTCATAGACTCATACCTAAGTATGGGTCTCCCAAACGACAAACTATGGCATGCACCCTAAACTTTCTTACTTGAGGAATGCCTATGTCACTTACTGCTTCTTATGTCAAGCTTGATATTTCATTTTATTCTATTTGGCCAGTCATTTCAAAATATCTGCAATATTCTGATCTACCCTTTGTTGCACAGAGAAGACCCAGAAGTTTCATATGGTCTTAAGTGGGCTATTGCTGGGAAAGGTGTCATTGTGAAAGATAAGGTCTTCCATAACTTGGAAACATCGGAGCTTCAGAAAGGAGGTGCTACTTACCCAGGTATGTGCAAATTGTTGTTGTCCTGTACTTATGTGTATGTACAACTGATATATGACATGTAACTCTGTGACTGCATCTGGAACATGCAGACTCTTTGTCTGGTATTCCACTTCATGTTAGAGGAGATGTCATTGGTGGTGTCCCTGGTGTTTCTAAAGCTCAATTTGCAAAGCTTCTAAAACTGGTAGGTTCTAAGGGCATCCGCAATGGCTAACTCATAAGCTAGCTCTAAGCATTTTTTTTCATATTTTAATAGAAGAGAGAAAAACTAGCTCTTGATCAAGAGCTAGGCTCATACACATATTCCAAGATCATGTGAGAGTGTTATGTGGGCCTAATCATACTATGAGCCATTGCTAAAAGCTAGCACTATTTGAGAGGTTGGTTTAGAGCTAGTAACTGGTTTATACCATTGCGGGTGCCCTAAGTCTTGGCTTCATCCCTCAATGGGATGGTATTCAATGATGATTATCATGAATGGAGATGAAGTACTGTTAGTCTCTTTTTCATCATCCAAAATTTTTTACTCTTCTTAATTTATAGTCATGAAGGGCGGGCCTGGTGCAAGCGGTAGAGTCTTACTGCCTGTGACCGGAAGGTCCCGGGTTCGAGTCGCGGTCTCCTCGCATTGCACAGGCGAGGGGAAGGCTTGCCACTAACACCCTTCCCCAGACCCCGCACAGAGCGGGAGCTCTCTGCACTGGGTACGCCCCCTTTTTTTTTAATTTATAGTCATATCATCTCCCTGTTTGTTGACAGACTGCTTGCTTGTATAGGTGATGTTTCATCTTTCATCCATCTCGTGTCTATATGTTCAAGATGGCGCCGTTGGTTCCTCAGCAGAATGTGATGCAAAGGTTCGAGTCATTAGTGATAACCCCTCTGCTGTTATGTTACTGTCCAATGTCCTTTGGAAAATATCGGATCGTGCGATTTCCCATGACACATCCCCTTTGACTATATATGCTACCAGTTCAATAAGGTACATTACCTTTTTCATTCTTTTACATATGATTTTAACTTGTTCATTGACTTCATTCATTCAAGTAATATCTTTTCCAACAAGAACTGAAGTCTGTAGTTGGCTACAGTGTAAGGCTAATTAATATGTTATATTCTTCTTGATTGTGAATGTTTGAAGCAGTAACAATGTTAAGACTGTTCTTGGTTCTGGAACACAATATGCTAATGGATTTGCAGCAGTGGATATTGAACGGTCATCTCTAATCCTATGCGGTAAAGCATTCGCTGATTCAGCTATTGTGAAAGATGCACTTACTGCTATGACAGCCCCGATATTGTCTGCAAGAGGAGGCCTCCCGGTTCCAGGCTGGTAAAGTCAGCTTATTACTCTTCATTTATTCTGTTTCTATGAAGTTCTTATTTTCCTTCCATATTGTGTATTTCAGGCTTATGTGCTTTGGTGGTTCTATTGTATTATTGTTTGCTCCGGTGGAAATCATGATGTCCTGCTTAGAAATCCACAATGCTCTATTGTCCACTGACTGTGGTGCAGTCATCTCTTCTAAAGGGTCTACTGTGCTTTTCCCAACAAAGGCTAGAAGGGAGCCAAAATTGTTTGCCAAACCAACTGCCGTAATTATTGTGTCATCTGATAGGTAATGAAGAGTCCATGCTTTGGTGACATGATTTGTCTTGTCTAAAACATGCAGCATGTGGAGTGTTACAACAGTTCTTTTGCTAAACAGGAACATTAATGTCTCTTGTATTATGATAGTTAAAATGAAAAAAAGATTTATAGTTGTGACAAGAAAGAATAGGACTAAGTTTGCTAACAATGTATTGGTCTTTTTTACTTTCAGCACTGGTGCCATACCATCTGTATCGAAGCTCTCTCCTGGCCAGGCTGCTTACCATTTCTTGGCTGGATACCACGATGGAAAATTTGTCCCAGCATACAGCAGAGCCCCCTCTCCTGCTGACCCACTTGCACTTGCAAGTTCCTTATTCTCACATGTAGGTGGCTCTATTTCTTTGTTTTTTCTCTCTGGTTATTTAGTAACTGGTGTTAGCTCTCTACCTTTTGCCCATTACTGTCTTTCTGGTATTGGCTCTAAAGATTGATGTGCTGCCTTTGCAGTTGAAAGAAGATGATACACCAGCATATCTGATCAATGCTAAGCACTCTGGAAAGTACATTGATGGTAATATAACATCACATTCCTTTCTTGTATTGTTCACTTTGCCTTCCTGGAATGGACACTAAGATGACAAATATTGTGTGACAGACAATGGGTTTATGAAATTATTAAAGCTGGCACTATCTCACAATGTGCCTGACATCAAAACTAAAGACTTTAGAGGTATAAATAGTTCTTGACGCCCTACATACTCAATATCTTGGTAAGTGATATCCATAAAGTGCAGTCCAATTTTAACCGACAGAAATACATCTTTGGTTGCAGTTGGGGAACTCAAGGGGAAGTACAGGAACTTTCTATCCAGCAAGTTTGGCAAATGTTTACTCGAGGAATTCTCTTTCTAGGAGATATACTCTGAGGTTGCAGTGGACATGTATCTTTACTGACATAGTCACATAGGTTTACATTTTGAGTTAAGAAGTGTTAGGAATCCCATTCTATCTCAATTAAAAAATAATACTCTATTACCTTACATCTTTCCCCATCCTGGTGCGTGGGTACTGACGCAATGTAGCTAGTACCTTCATGCATGAATTGGCTTGTGCAGTTGTGCACTTCCATTTCAGTCAATTTTGTTAAGCAGCAGAAAGTTGAAAACTTTCAGTATATTCATGTCACGTGTGACTTTGTGAGCTGAAGAGATCAGACTGTACTATTATGTAGAATCGGTAACAACCAAAAGGTCCAAAAACTGCTCTCCATCATGGTGCTGTGTTCCTGGCAACACTTTACCGGACACCGTTGCCTCTTTACCATTACTACTGCTGGGGCACCAGAGTGCAGAGTGCAGAGTGCAGAATGCAGTGAACTGTGAAACATTGGAGGACACGATACAAAAAGGCGTCAACCGTCGACATTGAGAAATTGAATCCTACCGTTTCATTTCACGCGGGAGCTGCCAGAGCTTCACATGGTTTCACTGAGAAGAGTAGAAGAATGGTGCGGTGGTCCCTCTGCACCATGGTCCTTGCTTCACCTGTTCATACTGGCATTACTGGTATCGATATCCATCCCATCTTAACTCACGTATTTTGGCATGCATTCCTGAAAGTTTCAACTGATAAGGCGGTGAGCAGCGGAAGTTGCTCATCTGAACTTTTGGTGTTGCTTATGGGCTCATTTATTCAGGCACATCACTCCAGGTCCTTGTGAGCCAACTGAATAATTTGGAAACAGCATACACCTTATAATGTACAGCCTGTTCGTTTCGGTTGGATGGGCTTATAAGCCATGGCTGAAAGTACTGCTGGCTGGTTTGGTGTGAGAGAAAAATACTGTTCAAGCCATAGATTACAAGCCAGATACGAGCAATCCAGCCGAAACGAACAGGCTGGTAGGAGTAGCACCTTATATTAACTTTAGGGGAGTGGGGGCAATTGCCAAAGGGGAAAAAAATAAAAGGGTACCCGGAGCAAATCGATTATTGAAGGCCAACAGCCTCATCAAGAACCCTACTGGCTCTAACATGTTTAACAGGCCTTTTCCGTCCAATAACGCACCATGACCCGTTGCTATCATCACTCTGTAATGTCAGCTCAGGAACATGGGGACCGTCACTTCTGCTCATACAGGTTATTTGATTTTTTAGCTGTACTTCCTTCGTCCACAAAAGAATGCAATTCTCGCTTTTCGAGAAGTCAAATAGCTTACTTTGACTAGAATTATATAACAAAGTACTAACATTCATAATACAAAAGAAATACCATTAGATTAGTAATAAAATATATTTTTATAATAAATTTATTTGGAGACATAAATACTAATCCTACTTACTATAAATTTGGGTCAAAGTTGAGCTAGTTTGACCGACACGAAACCTATAATTGCATTCTTTTGTGGACCGAGATAGTATGACTGATTAGAAAATCTCTGTTTCACAAACAGCAACATTTACAAAGCATATAATGAACAATTACAAGAGCTGGCATACAAATGATCACCAATCAAACATACCACAATGTAAGGCATGAACTCAGCGGATGCAATTATGTAAATACAGTCGACATTATGTATTCTTTGAAGCATCCATCATTTGATTTACCATAACATGGGGGAAGACTCAGGAACTAGATGGCTAGTCAAAGAAATATGTCACAAAGGATAGAACAAAGAATATCATCAGATGGTTTTATGCTAATTTTCGCTTTTCTTCTTCAGCAAACCACCGAATCTCTTCAGCAAAGGCTTCTTCTTATGCTGCTGGTGCTGTTTAGTTGGTGATGTCCTGCCACTGTTATCCTTAGTTGAGTGCAACCCATTGCTGTCAAGACCTGCATCCCCCTTGTTTGATTCCAAATCAACCTGTGAGTCACCATCATTCTCCTTCTCCTTAGATGAATCATAGTCAGCAAACTTGCTGTTCTCCCACATTTTGGAAACTACCACAACAGGTTCATCCTCATCTTCAGTGTCCTTCTCATTATCTCCTTCCTTGGCGTTACCATTTGTCGTGCCATCTTTTGTATTTGCAAGCTGGGAGGAGAGTTCCTTAATCTTCTGAGAAGCAGCTGATTCCTTTGCCTGCAGGTCGTCATTTTCCTGTTTTATGTTCTGCAATTCATTCTCTTGGTCCAATACCTTCTCCTTCCATTGGATAGTTTCGGCGTTGGCTTGCTCCCTGATTCTGTTAGCTTCCATCAGCAAAGACTCAAGCTGCTGCAGCTTCTCCTGCAACTCAGTGTTTTCATTTTCTTTCTCCTTAACAACCTCCAAGGTCCTGTCCATCTGAACTCTGATAGCACCTATCTCTTCTTCTGAATTCTTAATAGAGTTGACAAAACTTAGCTCTTTGGACTGCCATTCCTCATGCGCACCCTTAGCTTCAGATTCTAGCCTTTCAACTGATTTCGTAAGGCAAACCTTCTCATAGTTTGCTTCATCAAGCATTAGCTCATAGTTCTCCTTAGTATTCTTCAGACTCAAGCTAAGCTCCTCTACCTGTGCCTGAGCACGCTCAATCTCATCTTGTTTGAGAAGGTACTTCTCTTGCGCCTCTCTGGATTCAGCTGACATTTCCTGTAAGGCTGAGGCCAGACCCTCCATTGCCTTCTTGACTTTCTCAAGCTCATCTTTGGTAGCTTCAAGCTCGTCAGCCAGCTGGTTCTTCTGTTCATTCAAGGTCTCTATTTCTGAGCTAGCATATTTATCACTGTTCAGAGCCTCAATTTTCTCTTCTGCTGTACGGAGCTTCAACCTAAGCCCTTCAACCTCTGTCCATAGATCCGCCGCCTCTTTCTCTGCAGCATTGGTCCGTTGGCCCGAAACATCAATATCACTCTTGAGCTTTGCCAGCTCATCTTCCAAGAACCTGACTTTGTCCCGAAGAGCAGCAACTTCAGATTCTCTATCACGAAGCAAACTACTTGTTGAATCCAATTCTTCCATTGCTGAATTCAAAGACTCACCCTTCAAAATATTAGACTGATCAGCCTCTTCCAACCTGGCCTCGAGCAGCTCTGCCTTCTTCTGCCATTCATCAGCTAACTGCTCTGACTTGGAACCAGACTTCCTAGCATCATCAGCATCACTCTTAAGTTCATTAACCATGCGCTCCAATTGAATTGCCTTCTCTTCAGCAGCCTTTGCTTTCTCAAGCTTGAGCTTTAATGCAGAGTTCTCTGCTTCAAGATTCTGAATCCTCTCTGCAGTCTTCTTCCTCTGCCATCCAGCTTGGAATCAACCAGCTCTTTCAGGCGCTTAACCTCTGCAGTGAGGAGCTTAACTTCCAGAGCCTTCACCTCAGAAGCCCTAACGGCCTCATCTACCTGGCTCAGAGCTTCGTTCTTTGCATCGAGTGCGTCGGCCAGCTCATACCTGGCCTTCTCAAGCTGCTCCACTGTCGACCGCAGCGCAGCAGCATCAGCCTCCTGCTGGCCGTGCATGTTTGCCTGCTCCGACTCGCCGGCAGGGAGTTTATCAGTCCCCTGCGCCTCCTGCAGCTTGGCATTGGCCTCATCAGCCGCCTTCTTGGCACGCTCCAGCTCCGCAAGGACTCTGCCCTTTTCCTTCTCGTTCTCCACCAACTGCTCCTTGGCCTTGACGAGGTCTTCTCGGACCGCGGCGAGCTGCGCCTGCAGCTCCTGAGCAGGCTTGGCCGCCTGCTGCTGCTCCTGCGACGGCTTCGTGGGCTTCCCCCCTTGCTTCTGAAACCATCAAAACAAGTCTGAATTCCGCGAAAAAGCACGCGGGTTTCCGCGCCCGCAAACCGCAGGCGGTGGTGGTACGGTAGTCGTCGCGGATCGCCATACCTCCGGAGGCGTGGCGAGGCGGGAGGCGGCGGCGGCGGCCTTGGGCGTGGGCGCCTTGCGGTCGGCCGACCCCGAGCCGGGGGACTTGTCGGCTGAGCGCGGCGTGCCATGGCCGGCGGCGCTCGCCTTGGGCACAGCCGGCTTCCGCGGCCTGCTGTCTTTGGGGGTTGGCGGCGTGCCGCCGCCGCCGCCGCCCTTCTTCTCCTTGTCCGGCTTCGGCTTGCCGTTGCTCTTCGCCTCCGCCGAGCCAGATCTGCTCTCCAACCAAGAAACGGAACCACCGTCAGATGACGAACGGATAAAGGATCCACCGCCGCTGGCCGCGGCGGGGATCCGCCTCGCGCGGGCGGAGTCGCAGTGATCAAGAACCAGCACAGGAGGGGTGTGACGGACGGACGCTTACTTGGTCTTGGAGCCCTGCATTGCGGCGCCTGCGTCTGTCTGTCTCTGCCGCTGCTGCTGCTTGGCTTGGCCTCCTCTCTCTCGTCTCGTCCCTTTGGTGCGTCGGCGTCGCTCTCTAACGGGCAGGCAGGGAGGTGGAGCGCTATGAATGCGGAGAAATTTGGGGGAAGGAGTGGTGGGTGAGCGGTTGCGGCCGCGCTGCCACTAGTTGGAGAAGAAGATGGACGGGCGCGGGCGGAGCGGTGCGGCTGCGGGCCTGCGGTTGCGTTGCGGCTAGAACTAGAAGACACCGTCTCCGATCATCCCTGTGGGTCTGCTGTTGGGTCGCGTGGGTCTTCACATTTTCCTCGCAGGTTTTTATTGGAGGACAGAGAGGGAGAGGGGAGAGGGAGAGCGGGACGCAGGCGAAGTGGCCGGGTCACCGGACAGGACAGCCATGCATGCTGGGCTGGTGGTGTCCAGGGAGACGGAACGGAACGGGTGGGTTGGAATGGAATTCGTCTTTTTTTTTCGTTTCTTTCACTGGTTATTACACGTTTACGGGCTTGCGGGCTGCGGCTGTGGTATCAGTATCACGTCACTCTCGCAGTCTCGCTGCGTCCATCTCTCTATCTTTTTTGTTTTTTTGGCGAGAACATCTCTCTCTCTCTATCTATCCTACGGAAGCAGATGCAATCCTTTGCCGATTCTTTTTT